ACCACCAAGTAAAGGGGGTTCTACAGTTTTGTTCCCATATACTTAATTTGTCCCAATCATATAATTTCTCATTAATGCCAACCATTCTCTTGCCATTAATATAACCTCCAGTAAATGATGTTTGCCAACTTACATTAGGCTGCAGCTCATATTTAGTCATGATCGGTGCTTCTGGAACATATGTTTGTGTGGTCAATTTATCACAAGGGGATAATTTTAAATTGTCCAATTTAGTCGGATCCTTCTGTGGGAATGTTTAGTTCAATGACTGCATAATTATTTGTGTTATTTTTATAATCTTTTGGGAATTCGGAGAACTGCCACGCTAACCAAAATATCGAAAGAGAAGGCAATAGCCACAAAGCCGAGGCAGGCAGCCCTTCTGGTTGCAGCAAGTGCTCGTAGCTGCGGCCTTGCCGACAGCTCTCCCTCCAGCGGCCCTGCCAGCTCGGAGAGGGCAGCCCATGCTGACTCCTTTAGGAACATGCCATGGCGTGGACCATGCCAATTAACCATCACACAGGAAGTGGGCAGCAAGCACTCGCTGTAGCTATGGGGGAAAGCAGTTCTGGCAGAGACCTGAAAATAAAAGGCTGTGTGGAGTTTGATTAGGAAACACTATCGTAGCCACAGGGCCTGAGAGGGAACAGTGAGAGGGCAAGGAGTAGGAGAAAACTTCAGAGATTATCTGAGGCAACCATTGTGACCTTGTCAACCACTGCAAGAACTGACTTAACTGTGAAGAGGGAGAATGTATTTGGAAAGTGTTATTAGTCCGTTATTTTTTTTTTTTGTCTTTTTGTCTTTTTCCGTGTCCGGCAACGGATCGCAACCCTCAGTGTTGCCCCCGTACCGGACCGGGGACCGGCAACGGGATCGCAACCCTTGGTGTTGCCCCCGCGCCTCGCTCAGCCAGTGAGCGGGAACCGGTCTGTATGTGGGATCCGAACCCTCGGGTGGGAGCGCCGCCGCGCTTCCCAAGTGGCACACTTATCCAGTGCGCCACCGGGCTGGCCCCTTATTAGTCCGTTTCTTATGCTTATACAGAAACCTGGAACTTGGTAATTTATAAGAAAACAAAATTTACTGCTTACAGTTTTGGAGGCTGGGAAGTCCGAAACTCAGGGAACACAGCTGGTGAGGGTCTTTGTTGTGGCGATAGTGACGCAGAGGTCTCACACGGCAGAAATGGCAGAGCACAGAGAGAGAACTCCTCCTGTGCTCTCCTTTTAAAGCCCTCCGAGCCTCACACACCACGACCACCATTACATCATAAACTTAATCACCTCTTCAAGGCCCCACCTTTCAATTACCATAATAGCATTTCCCACCCTCAATGTTTACAGTGGGGATTAAGTTTGGGGGGACATTCAATCCAAGTCAGAAAGCAAACTGACATGATTTAGGAGTTAATAGTGCTATTCCGGCTGGTGTTTTTGAATAGCCTATAAGCAAACAAGGAAAGAAGAAGGGGGCACTTTTAGCGACAACTGTAACCAATCAAGTGTAAGACTATGGCAGTTGAATCCATGGTATTAACATATGTAGTGGGAAAACCAAGTAGATTCGTGTTGTCCTTTGAATGTAGCACATAATTGGCTCATAATTCCTCATGCTCAGTGGGGTTTGAGAGGACAGCAGATCTGGAAGCAGATGTTCAGGAACACACCTGGGACAGCTGAAGTCTAAGATCACACATTCAGCTGGACATAGTGAGCATCATGTTGTACAAAATAAATTATTCAATTTTGTCAATTTAAAAAAATCAAAGTTATAAATAAATGCAGCTTATTAAAAAAAAGAATAATATAAAGGAGCCTGATACCATGTTGTGCTTTCATGTAAAAATTATAATCATTACATATTAGGCTACTTGCTGAGTTAGAGAGTCATTGTATTTTATATTTTGACAAATGTCCCAAATGATCTTGCAGAAAGGTATCTGTTACTTGCCCTCCCACAGCAGTGCTTGTGAGAATCTCATGATGAAGATGACGATAACAACAATAATTTTTATGTAGTGAGCAGAACTCTGTACCAGGCTCTGTGACTTACCATGAGATATTTAGTGTTATTTTCGCCATTTTATTTACTGGATTTTAATGACTGTCCCCGTTCTCAAATCGGAGCGAGCACTGGGGCTCCCCTGGAGGGCTAGTAAAAGCACAGAATTCTGGGCCCGGTTCCCGGAATTTCTGAGTCCCTGGGTTTGGGCTGTTGCTCCTGGGCTTGCGATGTTAAGGAAATCCCCAGGTGATGCTGTTGCGGGATGAGAAGCGCGCACAGACCCCGCCACGAGGAATCGCCTTCTGTTTTCAGCGTGAATCCCGCTCCCGGAGTGAGCGGTGAGGGGCGGGCCCGCGCCCACCCGGGCGGGAAGGGCCAGGCGGGGGTCTCCTTACGGCCCTCGGAGGGCGGCCGCGCACCGGGCCCAGGCGCTGGGGACCCTGCGGGCTGCGCTCTGCCTCCCGCCGCCGCCCCGTGCAGCCCGGCCGGACGAAGGACACAAACCGCG